GCAGGAATGTCTTTCACGTGGCTCCCATACATGTATGCTTCCACACAGGGTGGTAATAAAAGACGTCAACGTTGGAAACTTCAGCAAGAGGCCAACATGCATGGGATGTCACTGACATTAGCAGAGACTGTCTCCTCACTGTGCTGAGCCTCTGTCCTCCCTGTACAGACCATGTCCCGGGGGGCCAATCTTCCTGCACTACAGGGATCTGCACAAAGTCCACATGGGTTCAGACTGCTCAGTGTTGGATTTACTTCAGCAAAAACAACCACACATCCAAGCCAACATGTGGGCAGCCTGCTTCTGAAGTAACCCTGGTCTGCTGAGAAAGGAAGAGCCAGAAGTCAAAGGCTGGGATTTAGCAAGCACTTGTTCTACTCCTGACTTGCCTTGCTTGAGTATCTGCAAGCCAGGAATGCCTGAGAAGAAACTACAGCCATACATCGCTTAACTTCGGGAAGCTGGAAAGCATGTGGAATAGAAGAGGTGGATGCAGTGAAGCAGCACAGCTCCTGTGCACATGAGGGACTCAGCCAAGGGCTGCAGCAGATGTGTTTTAACCCATGCCACTGAGCTATTTGGGATCTGTCTCCGATTTCTCCAGCACTCATTCATGTGTCGTCCTGACGGAAGACCAACAATAACAATTAGTATCACATAAGGAGCGGCAGACTGTTGCCAGCATTAGCAGACACTTGAGCACCAAGGGTTTCCATTCCACTTTTTATCCCAGCTATGCATACGGCAGAGGTCAGTCAACATTAATCAGTCTTGTTCTGAGCCAGCTCCTTCAGTGCGTTCAGCTTTGCTTGAATTGCAATCGCTGTCTCTCAGTGCTACAAAGATTCTCAACATTCAACCACTTTGCCTCCTTCCTTACACCCACCCAAAAGAAGTGTTTTTACTGTGTGATGACAGGCTAAGCCTGGCCATGCTGGAGATGGCCTCCAAGCCAATAGGCATCCTGCTGGCTGAGCGGGGCATGTGGGTCTTGGCCAGGAACTTTGTGTTGCTGTTCTGAGCTCTAAATCCACTTCCATCCCATTGGAGGGCCTGACCTTCATCCACTTTCCCAACATTTCTGAAACTCACTCTCCCAGATCCCCTGGGCTGGTTTGGGATCACTCATGGGAAACCCTATGTGGGCCAGCAAAGGGAAGGTAAATTTGAGCTCCCTGTCAGCGCATGAACACACTTCCTAAGAAAGGCTCTGGGAGGGATCCTGATGACTTCCATATTATTTCCAGTAAATTTTGTGCTGATTCTTGGCACAAACACCGGAAATGAATAGGCTAGGTCAGGAATGTAAATAAAGCGAAACATTGGGATTTAATCTAATCTATAATTATAGTATCTGTGGTGCAGGGAAGAGGTTGGTGTGTTTGCACTGCAGCTCCATAGAGGAGCCAGAGGGGGGGTTTATTTCCCTTTCCAAATGTTCCATTTCTGGCTCCCACCTCTTGGTGTATCCCCAAGCATCTGAAACAATCGTGCTGGGTTGGCAGGGCTGCTTTCCAGCAGCCCATCAGGTACAGCTCAGCAGAGGCATCCCCAGGCACCCAGGGGATGGCAGGTGAGAAGCTGAGATAGTTGAGCTGGACTGGAGGCTCAGGGAGGCTGTGGGATGCACAAAGGAAGCTTCTGTCTCAGCACAAACAGCACCGTTGGGTTGTAGGGTGTTGAGCTATGTAAGGACCATGAGCTATGCAAGGTCAGTCCTCCAGGCTGAATTTAACATGTGGGCATCCACATCAACCATATGCCTCAACCAATGGCTCCATGCAGCCTTGCTGAAGTGGACTACTTTCCATCATCCCAACCCCAGTGTACTGCAGGCAGGGGAAAGAAAAAGGCTGACAGGAAACATATGTCCGTCAGTCTGAAACTGCAAAGGACAAAGAAATCAGTTCTCCTTTTGTTAGTGCGTGTTTTGAAATTACAGAAGTCTCAAAAGCAGAGGAATCAATCCGACTGCTTGTTTGCTTGTCTGCAGAGCATTTTTTTGGATTTGTTTTTCATGCACAAGCTCGGCTTTGATCTCAGGGTGGTAATATGCCAAACAAGTGGCCAACAGCAGTGAAACTGCCACAGGTACTGCAGAAGAAATGGGACAGGACATCAGATGCATTTACAAAGCAGAAGAGACTCCCATGATCTCACAGCCCCCCTTCAGTGATACCCTCAGACTACTGAACAAGCAAAAGCATTTGCTTTTGAAGAGCTCCAATGCTGCAGGATCTGTGTGCTCACCTACCAGCCTGGAGAAAAGCACAGATCCCTGCCGAGCTGCTATAATCAGGATTAATACCAGCTTGGAGCCTTCCAACAAAGCTGTTTTTTTTTCCCCACAAAAACAAATGAAACAAGCAGAAGAAATTCAATTTCAGAAGTGACCCCGTGCCTGTGTTTCTGTTGTTGTTATGTCCACGCGGGCTCAGAACAGAGTGTTAGCCTCACATTTCACTGTTCTGGCTTTCTTCATGCTCTGTCGCAACTGTATGGACATCTGAAAAGAGGAATATTTAATGTGTGTACTTATGTATCTGAGAATGCACAGATGCTAAGTAAACACGTGCTGGTTGGCTCTCAGGCTGGAGCAAACGTGTGTGCACTGGATGTGCAAGCACAGTAGTGTTTGCAAACACACTGAGCACAGGAGTGTTGGTCCAGGCAGGTGTCCTGGTGCACACAGCAGCAGATGCTGAGCAAAGGGGGATGTGATGTGTGCACATTTTTTGGATGGCCAAGAAAGCAGGTCTGTGCCCCACACATGCCAGCACATATGTGTGTCTGTACACATGCATGTAAGTGTGAACAGTCCTGAAAACTGGACACCAAGCCTGCTGAGCATGAGCTAGTGGACAGAGCCAATGCATCTGTGCATCACCCTGTCCTCTCCCAGCAACTCTGCCCTGTCCCCGCAGAAGCAATAGGGCCAAAGCCCTCTGGTGCCAAGGGACTGATGCCTGCTGGCTCCCCATGCAGAGCTGCTGTTCCTCGCCTTTGAGACACCTGCCAGGAACAAACACAGGACACAGGGCATTGCCAAGCCCTGCTCGTCCCCACCACAGCGGTGTGACGCAAGACCTTGAAGCAGAAGCCTGGCTTTGGCCATAGAGTGGCCAGGACACAACCCTGAACAAAGCCTCCCACCCAAGGCTCTCCCAGCCCTCTATAGTCATCAGGAATTAGATCACAGAGCCCCTGAAGAGACGAGTGAGCGCAATTATCCCTGCCCAGCAGATGGGGAAGATGATCTGGCAGTGTGGGCTGCCAAGCAGCCAGATCTCCTGGCTCCCAACCCCACACCCCCCCATCCAACCCAGCAGCTCGTCCCACGCCTGGCGCTTTGGCAGCTGCAATCGCTGATAGCTCACAACCAAGTTTATGGGCAGTGGGTCATTAGCGAGCTCTGCACTTGTTCCAGGCTTTCCCTGGCACCTTTTCAGAGCGACTCAGTTCCCAGTGATATTAATAATTATATTTATCCATTATAGATATTTAACAAGAAAACATTTAAAATGATGAAATGGAGAGAGGAGCCTTCTCCTGGACGCCACTCTGCTTGAGATACAAAATAAAGACTCTGCCATCTTTGGAGGCTGTCAACATATTTAACTTTGGGGCGGTGGAGGGGGAGGCAAAGGGAAAGTATTAATCAAGATCTTAAAAGTTCTCGCTGACAGACCATTTGCCAGCTCTTGCTTTAACTGCTTTTGTGGTCCCATAAAAAGTTTCATTACTCACTACAAAATGTGTTTTAATTATTACAGTCGCTCTGACATTAAGCTCTGGGTGTTTCTCTCTTGCTTACTCTGTCTCTCCTTCAACTCCTTGCCTCCTTTTTATTCCTCTTCTTTTTTTCTTTTTTTTCCTTTTCACTGACCCTCCCAACTCGTGCCATCTCCCACAGGACAGAGGATGCCATGGCTAGAGAAGGGCCTGAGGATCTCAGCTCCCCAATGGGAGAGAGCTGACTGAATTCTTTGGCATCATCCTTCCACAGACTTCAGCACTTTGGGACCTCTTGGATAGAATCATTAATAATAGAACCACAGAACGGCTTAAGTTGGAAGGGATCTCAAAGATCATCCAGTATAACAACGTTGCCAAGGGGTATAGGCAGCAAAACTCCTCAGCATCACAAGGATGCCATGGCTGCAGCAATGAGGACAGGAAAACATGGGTGTGCTCGAGTACAGCACGCACCTGCTGAGTGTCCACTGTCCTGTTCTGGGGGAATAAAAATATAATGGGGAGCATGCTGCTGTGTCTGCCTCATGGCTCTGCTCTGCCTCCTCCACGTCTTCAGGTCCCTGCCTTCAATCCATCTCCAGATGCTCTTCTTTCCCATGGAAACTTACTCCTACTTTCTCGATCAGACACCCTTCAAACTACAGTGAAAGAGAAGTCAATACTTGGATGCTGAAATTATCCCTTTACTTTGGATATGAGTTACTTCCTAAGATTCAAACAAAAAATCCAGTCTCGTGTTTTTATATGTGTTATCTCAGAAGAGCCAAGTGATTAAGTACATCAGCATAGGTGTGACCATGCATCCCTACAGAAGTGACTGGATGGTGGACAGGTGTACTTGGTGCCTCTCCAATCTGGTAAATGTGTCTTAGTGAGACAAACATCAACTGATGTGAGCAACCCCTCTCACATCCTTGACATCTTGCACTCTCAGCTGACCAGGAACATGACAGTGTGTGCAACATCAGCTTGGTTTGTCCATGCAAGACAAACTCAATGCACCTGGAAGCCCATCACACTGAAAATGTAAGTGGAGTCTCCCACAGGCTGCCAGTGTTCCACTGCTGTACTGGCAGACACTGGTTTTCCATTTCACTGGTTGAGCCCAACACCCAAAGCAACAGCCTCACTGTTTGTCCACTGTTTGGTGTAACACTGTGCTGACCAAAAAGGATAATAACCATCATGTAATCCCACTGGAGTTCCCCCTTGCCCACAGGACCTCCCCACATGCCTCTCCTTACTTGTAGAGACCATCTGGTTCCAGGCACTTGAAAATAACTGAGTAGAGGCTGGTTTCAGGGACATCTCCATGGCTCCGACCCGCTGCCACACAGGACGTTGCAAGGCCAGAAAGCAAATCATCTGCAAAGCTTAAAGATTCTCCTGGAGAGCAAAGAGATGAGAAAGACCAGAACATCAATATAGGTGCAAATTATCACTGGACATCAACAAAATAATGCAGGAACATCTCTACAGAGCACAGCGTAAGGGGAAGCAACAACATCCAGCTGGAGGGAATGGCCCCACATCTATGTGGAGAATGTTACTGGGGACAAAACAAGTAGAAAACACATTCAGGACGAGAGCTGTAACTGGGATCCACAGCAGAAACTGTGCCCAGTGCTAAGTCAGAGCTTGGGAAAGTGTTCCACGAGCACAGTAGCAACACATGTGGGACCACCACCAAGGAGGTCCCTGGGGCAGCACAGATGCCCACACTCAGCAGGGCCCTCCTGCCCTGAGAGCACTTCCAGTTCTCAAAAGGGGACATGGCCTTTTTCAAAAATTCCCTGTCACTGTGAAATATGTTTCAGCTATGTGAGATTATCAAGCAAGGAGACGTTTATAGAGCTTGGATGTAATTGCTTTCAATGTGCTGTTTATTTTTTTATTCATTCAGTGGAAATCAGTAGCTTTGCACTCCCTTTCATGTGAGCTCCGCCGGCTCCTGGAGCTGATTGCTGCAGTGCTCAGCCCAGCCACACTGAAGGACATTCGCCCCATTACAGGCATTCAAAGAAAAATAATAACAATTAAAAAACCACTGAAAGACTTTTTTTTTTTTTTTTTTGGTCTTCTGGTTTATAAAGCTTATTAAACGCTTAGATCACGACCCAGCTGAAACTGAAAATGTCCCATTTATTAAGCTCTTTGGACCTGATTATTCACTGCTGTGCAAGCTGGCTCCTTGCACTGAAGATGCTGAGCATTCCATTCCCATTTTGCATCAGTGTAACCGAAAGCTCAAGGTACCCAGCAGTACAAATCCTGAGCAGCTGCCCTGGTTGTGCCCTTGGAGAAGCAGAGAGAGGGCGGCTGCAGCTGCTGAGCGGTGCTGGGATCAGCAGAGCTGGGCCCAAGATGCAGCACTGGGTACTCACACACGTGTAAATGTCAAAGCACCGCAGCAGAGATTGGAAAATTCCCTTCTCAGCACATTTCTCTCTTTATTCTTCTGTAAGCAAAATTAAGTGAGGGCTACTGAAGTGAAGCACCAGTCTAGTCTCTTGGTATAGACTGTAAGAAATACCCCACTGGTATGCCCAGCCCAGAATGCCTCACTGTGTGGCCGGATTACCCAGGTAGAAGAAAAAAACCCATCCTCCTCAGCCCCCCCAGGCCGTGTTTGAGTCGTCTCAAGATACACAATTCAGTAACAAATGTCCCCCTTGGCTAGAGAAAAGAGCAGCAATAAATACTTTTCCTCCCTAAAGGAATCCAAGCCTTAATTATTCATTTTAATGCTCCCAGCACGACTTGTTCTTTCCAAACGTTTTTCAGGCAGCTGTCACCAGGTTCCAGAGTTTACCCTGGCTACCAGAGCTGGGGCTGTACCACAGCCCAGGTCAACTCAGCGGGCAGGTTGGGTTGGCAGCCCAAAAGTCACTGCCTGGAAGTTGCACAGCCTTCAGCAAGTCCCTCAGCGCTGGGGTGATGGTTTAAACAAACAAACAACGCTCTACTGCACATCTCCAATTCTCATTTCCATCCCTTCCCATTATGACATCGGGTTGGACTTGGGAACTCCCTGTCACCAGAAGTCACCGAGGACACTGTCACCACGGATGAATCACTGACACGTAACGAGAAAACAGCACCAGAGTGTGCTGCTGAACTACAGAAAGACCTTTTGATCCTCTTCAGACCTCAAACAACTGCTCTCTGGATGAGGAAGAAACTTCATGGAGGGCAGACAATCCCATGGGTGTCTCTGTGGGCATCCCACATCTTCCTCTGGAGCACTCAGAGCCATCTACCCAGCCTCTGGGTCAAGCCCGTCTGGCAGCTCCTACAGCATGACTAAAGATGTGGGTGTTAGTTTCATTTTATTGAGTTTTCATTACAGCACTTTCTTCACTTCCCTTCCTGCTTCCCTTGGACCCTGCTCTTTGCAAGCTGGCTATTTATCTGACCCAGTCACTGCACTACCCTGGGACCAAAACCCAAGTCAGCCCCTAGATGTAGACCAGGAGCTTGTCAGCTGGATATACCTAAGGCAGCACGTGTGTTTGCCAGCCTTGCAAGAGGATGACAGACCACGAACCCTATCAAGTGAAAGTGGACCTGGGGTGCTGCAGCAATAGAGCAGTACCCAGCAGGCTGCACAAAGCCCAGACAAGGGCTCAGCAGGACGGCACCGCGCTGCATTGCTCCGCCACGCTCACGAACAAGACACAGGAAAAAGCAACGCTTCACAGGGAGATAACAAAAGGCCCAAGTTTAGCGTACATGCAGAGGCATAAAAAGAGCAGGAAGAGCTACGCTGCTCTGTGAATGCACCACCAGGGCAGGCGATCAGATGGAAACTAAATATTTAGGCTAATGGGCAGTAATGGCACAAGAAAGTAAATTGGATATGAATAGATGGTCTACTCCTGAGAAGGACAAATAACCTAACTATCTCTTTGGATAGAGTTTGATCATTTCATAAAAGGGATTATATGGATAAGTAGCTTGTGATGGAAAGCAATGGAGCTTCTCTTTCCCGTCTGGACCTGTGTTCTCACACACCCCGCCAGCAAATATAAAGAAGGATTTCAGCCTCCCAGAGCAGCCCTGGAGCGCAGTCCTCCTAGACTGCTGTAGTAGCTTTGCTCGCATTATTAAATTTCAGTAAGAATTCAGAAAGATTCTCTGCAGAGTAAATGATAGCTAAGTAGATCATCTCTGTGGAGGAGGAGATATTTTATTGACCAGACAGACATCTGTGCCCTTCATTAATAGTAATAAATAATTGATGTCACACTAAATAAAGCAATGAGCTGTTACAGATATCAAGGACAAATGACCATCTCCTGTGAGGATGCCTCACCTGTGTTCACTTCTCAATGGCAAGAAAACCAAACCAGAGCTCAGTACCACTATATTAAGTGCTGCTCGCAGAGCCAAAGAAGGTCCTTCACACACTGATTACAGGCAGTGGAGAAATAGTGCTCAGCGTTGGGCTAATCATACACCAAATCTCTTCTTTTTCATTTCCATGCCACTGCCTTCCCAAGACCGGTCAGCCCCAAAGCACGCAGTTCCCCAGGCAGCTTTAGAATACCAATCTCTGCTCTGCTAATGACCCTCAGAAAGATGCAGCTCTCTCCAGGCACTTTCCTTCTCTCCAGTACAACTCCTCACTGTGCCTCATCCTCTTCTACAGACGGGGCTGTGGAGTTTGGCAGATTTCCTCTTTTCTGTTTTGTAAACATGAATCTTATACTAGCTGTGGTGTCACACTGAGTCAGTGCTCTCCCCAGAACAGAAGGAAGTAACAGCATGCTTGGAACCTGCTGGGAGTTAGCTCTACTGCGTGAAGCTTTGCAGTCTAATGGCCCAAAGCTGCTCACACCAAGGCATGCTGTAGGTCAAGCCACAGTGATGGCTCTGGGAGAGACAACAAGGAACCCAAAGGGATGACTGCTCTGGTGGGCAGCAACCCAGCTTCCACCCACTGCAACCTGTGCCAACGGGCAGCATGTGGGACGAACTGCTCACCAGCCATCCCGTTGAAGGCAATGGGGTTATGGCACTGAGCTCCACCAGCCTGAACAAGAGAGCAGGGCCAGGAGCCTTGGTGAGGTTGGAGGAGCAAAAGGGACCTTCAGAGATGCTCCCACACCTCCAGGGAGGTGCTGCGAATCCAAATGGAAGAGTAGAAGAGAGGAGACCTGTGCTGAGATTGACCTTGGAGATTCCTAGAAAGATCATGAAGGGGAAAGCAGAAAGGAACCAACATCTCTGTCTCGACAGCTTCTTTACTAGACTGGATTGAACCAACCCTGCAACGTTACCAGCCACTTTCTTCTGATTGTGGTTTTCTCTCTCTGTCTTTCTGCCTTTTGTTTTTTTTTCAACCTGTTTTCAATTTACTCTTGTGGCATCTCTGACTGTGACCTCATTCTGGTACTTAGGGGAAAAAAAAAAAAAAAGAAAAAAGAAAAAGAGAGTGTCCTTTAGAAAAGAAATGAAAGAAATCATATTTTATTTAGTTTGGTTGGTTTTGAAGCTTTAGCAGAAGAAAGATTAACCTTTTCTGCCTAACTTAATGAAAACAAGGAGAAAGCCTGTATGGATAAATAAATATCTGTGTGGGTATGGAGCAGGCACGATCGTGTTACAGCCCCGGTGGAGCTGTAATAGGGAACAGGCGCGTTCCTGCACAGCGGCTCCCAATTCCCTATCCATTTTCAAGGAAAGAAAAACAGAGTAGAATGTCAGAGGCCCAAGTGGGCATGAACGAGGAAGCCCAGGGAAGGCAGATGGGGCCCTGCGAGGACTTCTGTCCCCGGCTGTGACCTCCAGAGCAAGGCAGCAAAGCAGATGGAAAAAAAGGCCCTATTCCACTTTGCTCTTGCCAGGTTGTGTTTCCTGAAATGAGGAAACAAATGGCACGCTGAACCCTCCAAATTTGTCATGTTTTGGGGCAGCTCGTCACACTCTCTTCTTCCTCCAGGGTTCTGCCCCTGAAGAGAGGAGGATACTAGGAGGTCTGTGAGCAGAAGGCCTGGAGCAGGGTTGGGGAGGGAGAGTGGGGAGCAGGGCTGCTCCTTCCCAGCAGGCCATACCTGGGCTGAATGAACTCTGGGTCTGGCTCCTGGTGGGGGCAATCAGTGAGAAGTGGTTCATCTTGGAGGCAAAGGGCTGATTTAAATTAGTGTAACATAACTTCAGGCATCAGAGTTGCTCTTATTTACATCAGCAGATGGCCTGTCTTCCGCCTTGGAGAACACTAAAAGCAAAACGTCCTCACTGATGCTGGTGGAAGGATGTCAAAATCTCCTTCCCTGCAAGGTGTGCCAGATTATATTTTAGTTATTACTAAAAAATCTTCTGCCCACAATTCTGGGAGCACCCACACTCGCTGTCCACTGTGTTACATGGAGCATGCCTAAACC